TCATCACCCATGTCATCACTTAATAGAATTTGTTAGAGATAACAGAGGGTGATGAATGGCAATATCTTAAAAGAAAGATTAGTGACTAAGTGTTCAAATTTAACAAAATAATGACTAAATTAAAAATTATGATAAAAGTGAGTGATTGTTTATGTAGTTTGTCCTTTCTTCTTTGGATTTAGAATTAAAAAAAAACGCCCTTGGAGACGACAAAAGAAAGAGGAAATAAAAAGGTAACGAGGGATTTTTCCTTCTGTTGAATTTCACACCGTAACATAGCAACCGCGTGGACATGAAAGAATGGAGCAAGGAATGTACTTGAAAAATATTAAGTGCCAAAAATCAATCCCAAGGATAAAAGGTTTAATTTCAAATAAAAATTTAAACTTTTGAAAATTAAGTAAAAAATATGGGGAACGATTCATGCATCTGCCGGATCGATATTTGGTGCTATACACTCTATAAATTGAATAAATTATAAAAATAAAATTAAAAATTTATCCTTAAAGTCATCTTCTTCCTTGCAAAACCCATTTCCCAAATTACAGTAAGAACAAATCATTTGAATCCCAACAAAACTCAATCAAGCATTCAAGTACTAAATTAGAACCTTGAGTAAGTTTCTTAAATGACAACAACACCAAATCAACGGAAATTAATTTCTCAAATGATAGCAACACCAAATCTTGAGGAAGAGTTCATTTTCTCATAAAATCATCCTAGATTTAACCCATGATTTTGTAGCCCATTAGACACATAAAATAGGTCTGTTTTTGGGATGATATAACAAAAAGTGGAGTACATGTAAGTGGAGCCAATTGGCAAAAAAAGGAAAAGAAAACAAGGAAAATTTCTGCAGTTTTGATATTTTGCACAGCTTTGCTATTTTGTCCGATTTGCAAAAGTTCACCATTAGGTTAAGTTGAAATTTTGTCTGGGTATTCAAAAGACATTGATTTATATTTTGAACAGTTAGTTTTTCATTTGGAGATTTGTAAGTTCTGATTTTGTAACTAAAACAGTAACTTGTTTTTGGTGATATGTTTTTCTCGTAGTCCCATTTTCTTTGTCGGTTTGCAACATGTTATTCCTATTATTTGGTGGTAAGTTCTTCACAAACCCAAGTATTTGAACCTAGATCTAGGTGCAATATGAACCCAGGTGTTGGGTTCTTCACGAACCTAGGTGTTAAAGAACTTGTTCGTTTCAGTAGGTAGAAAAAGAGGGAAGAAGAAAGGGAGGGGGAAGAAAGTTGAGAAACTGGTGTTGAATTGTTGAAGAGAGAGACAAAGAGACAGGAAGAAAAAGGGGTATTGTGAGGAAGAAAATGCTTTAAGGGTAAATTTATAATTTTATTTTTACAATCTATGCGGTTTATGGAGTGCGCACCGTTAAGTGTCGAACAAGCGGGTGCATGAATCATTCCCCAAAAAATATTCAACACTTATTCTTTTGTCACTATTTTAGATAAAAAAAGAAGTATTTCATTCGTAGGTTTGCTAAATTTTTTTTTTTTGAAGACTTATTAAAAAAATTCATTTTCTAATTAATATTTTTCAAAAATTAATCTTTAAATTAAAAATTTTATTTATATAGATCACGTATGTCAAATTTTAAATTAATTTAGTAAATCTAATCAGTATGTTAATTATACAAAATTTAATATAATTAAATATACATATCAGTACATAATATTTCCTTAATTAAAAGGTTATAAATATTAAATCAATATAAAAATTAGCATGTAAATTTTATATAAATAAAACTTTCAATTTAATGATTAAGTCTTGAAAATATTAATTGAAATATAAATTTTTGGATAAATTTTCTAAAAATATTTTAGAAGATGGCCTGTACTACACTAACACACGGACATATAAAAAAGTGAGGATTTTAGATCCTTTCCATCAACCACCGTTACGGTCTGTTATTTATTTATTGTTTTTGGTTCAAGTCCAACCGATTAACACAACTTTGTTAAATTGGAAAAATATGCAAATAAGCCCTTCAAATATATAATTTTCACAAACGGATGGGCATTTAATAAGTTTCACCTCACCAGAACATGAAAGACAAGTGGGAATGGCAATTAGAGAAAGATGGGATTTTTTTTAAAAAAACTGAAGTTAAATTAGAGAAAGATGGGATTTATTCTACAGTCTTGCTTACAAATACTTACCATACTCATACGGTAATTGGTATACATTTTTATTTAATACATTACACAATATATTCATTAAAAATTATTATTTTTTAGTCTAAAATTAAAAGTAAATAAATTTAAAGATATAATTATACACATAAAATATAAAAATTGATTATATTAATTATATTTACATTATATTTTTAATAATTAAATTAAAAATATATCAAAAAATATATTAAACTAAGTGTATACATATATTTTTCTTGTTTT